GGGGTCTCCGCGGAGGGGCCCGGCGGCGGCGGTCACGGCCCCGTGCCCCGGCAGGTCTGCGAGGAGCAGAAGTGCGAGGAGGAGGTCTTCCCGCTGGCCATGAACTACCTGGACCGCTTCCTGTCGCTGGAGCCCGTGAAAAAGAGCCGCCTGCAGCTGCTGGGGGCCACCTGCATGTTCGTGGCCTCGAAGATGAAGGAGACCATCCCCCTGACGGCCGAGAAGCTGTGCATCTACACTGACAACTCCATCCGGCCTGACGAGCTGCTGGTAACCTGGGACCCCCACCGCCCACCGACGCCCTTTGAGCCCCTGGACCCCGGGGGTGGGGGATGTGCAGAGGACGGGCGGCCCCCCGCAGGCCGCTGGCACACCCTACGCCCCGAGGACCGGCGGCCACACCGGCGGGGCCCCTTTCGAGGAGCGGGCGGGACCCCCGCCGCCCCCCATCCCCAGCGCTCCCCACCACACACTGTAGCTCGGACTCCCACCTCGTCTGCTCCCCTAGCGAGGCCGAAAAGTGGGCGGCGCGCGCCCTCTAGCGACAGCGTCGGGGCAGCCCGCGCTGCTTACAAGGACTTGCTTTCCAGGTGTGGGTCTTTTTTGTCCCCGCTTGGGAACCGTTGGCCTCTTCCACGGCACCCTCTCTTTTTGGATCTCTTTTGGGGTGGCATGCTGTCCTCCATTTCCTGGACCCCCAACATGCCCTATCCTTTCTCTTCTGGGCCGGAGCTCCCCCCCTGCACCTCACTTTATGCTTGTTCACCCCACTTCCACAGCAAATGGAGCTGCTCCTGGTGAACAAACTCAAGTGGAACCTGGCCGCGATGACCCCGCATGATTTCATCGAACACTTCCTCTCCAAGATGCCAGTGGCCGAGGAGAACAGACAGATCATCCGCAAGCACGCGCAGACCTTCGTTGCTCTCTGTGCCACAGGTAGGGCGGCTGGGTCCTGCTGGTCCCCCATCCTGGCCTCCATGGGTGCCCCTTGCCCCTGGTGGAGGAGCATCTTGCCCTTTGCCTCGGTTTCCCCATCTCAAGAGCTGGGCCCCAGGCCCCTACTGCTCTCAGAGGTGCTCCTCTTCCCTTGGACCTAGTGCTGGGGCTGGGTGGAGGGGGGGAGGGGTCCCTTTCTGGGTCAGGCAGCTGAGGCTGGCCACGGCCACCATGCAGTGCCTTGGGGATGGGGGTGGGTGGTCCACCAGGCTGCGGCCACTCCGTGCTGAAAGGGGTTTACCTTGGCTGCCCAGCCTGCCTCCCCCACTCCTGTCCTCCTCCCCGCCCCCCCATCACCAGTCCTTCCCCATGTCCTCAAGGGGCCCCCTTCTGGCCTCTCCCGGGCTGGGCCACCTGCCAGGGGCGCCTACAGGGGTGGGGAGCGACGGCCCGCAGTGCCTGCACCACGTGCTCTGGGCGGCCAGCAGCAGCCCTGGTGCGGGGGCGGCCAGCAGAGGAGCTTGGCCGCCTGAGGCCCCGCCAAGGGGTGTCTCAGGCCGGCGCAGCTCAGCTGAGTCCTGGGAGGGGCTTCAGAGCAGCCTGGGGTTGGGCTGCTGCCGTTGGCAGCAGGGGGCCAGCCCTCCCTCCCCCTGGCAGGGCTCTGATGGTCCCTGGAGGCCCCTCCCTGACACCGCCCTGGCCCCAGCCCCTAGGCAGCCAGCGTTTCAGCCCTCATCACAGACACCCACATACACAGGCCCCGCGTCGCCCCCCATTTCCCCCAGCCCTAACCCTGACACCCCGTGACCTCTTTGTCCCTCCCTCCGATCGCATGGGCGGGGCCCAGGAGATGTGGAGAACCCTGCCTGGGGACCCATGCCCCCATCCCAGCCAGCTCTGCAGTGGGCCACCTCTGCCCCTGGTCAGGCCTCAGCTGTCACGTGTGTTTGGGGCTCACCGCGGGCAACCGGAGGGCCACACAGCATCCAAGGGCGAAGTTGGCGTCTATCACTCCCTCCCCACAAGCGGTAGAACCCCTAGTCTGGCATCTCCTGGCACCCTCCTGATGTCAGGGTGCTCCGATGGCTGCTATTTCTGGGTCGGGCGAGAGTCGGGGAGATTCTGCCGGCGCCCCCATCCTCCGCCTCCTGCTCAAGGCGTGACCCTCTCCTCCAAGCCCTTCCAAGTGAGAGGAGTAGGGGGACACCGTGGGCCTGGATGGATCTGAGGGGTGGCAGCTCCGGCCCCGGGGCAGGGGCAGGGAGCCTCCCACTGGCCATCCCCTTGGCCTCCAGGGGCCAGCCCCGCAAGCAGGCAGGGAGGCGTTCTCTGGCTGGGGCGCCTCGGAAGAGAGAGGCCTCTGGAGACTTCCAGGCAGCCTTTTATGGAGCTAAAAGTGGTTCAGAGAAACGGCAGAGTTTCCTGGAGATAATGCAAGGAACGGTTCTTGCACACCCTCCCCCCCCAGGATGGCGGGGGCGGCCCGGAGCTCCCCCTCCCCCAGAACCCCAGGGAAGTGGGGTGTGTAGCCAGCGTGCAGTGCCTGGCAGTGCGGGGAGCAGGCCTGGTGCAGAGGCCCTAAATGGGCTTCGGTGCTGACTTCCCAGCTGCCATGGGTCGGTGTGCGTGAGCGCCGGGCCTCTGTCTGAGACTGGGCCCGGCAAGCACCCCCCGGCCTGCAGGCTGCAGCCTGCACCCAAAGGCCTGGGCCTCCCTGGAGGGAAGGTGGGGGGATGGCTGGTGGGGCCCCACAGGGAACAGGAGGAGGCCAGGAGGAGGAGAGGGTCACCCGCCCCCCCAGGGCCCTCAGAAAGATTCTCCGGGTCCTGATCCTTGCCTGCACCGTTCGAACATACCTAAGACGCAGCAGGGCCTTTGGTCACAAGGGGGCCTCTCACTTTTGAGTGACGTGATGGCAGCTCAGAAACAGGTTGGCAGAGACGGTAGTGAGGTGGAGGCGTGAGCAAAAACCCCAGAAGATATTTTTGTCCCCCATATCAAGGGTCCCGCTTGATGATGCCGTGGGGGGGGGGCGGGGGGCTCTGTTCTTGCTCTGGGTCTCCCACACATGTGCACACATCCCCCACGCTCTTCTGTAAATGTGTATGTACGTCTGTGTACACTGGAGCTTTTCGGGGTGCTGCAGTGGGTTAGGTAAGCAAATGACCAGGGCTGGTGGGAAGCTGACGAATCATCGAAGCTAGTGAGTAGGTCTTAACAAGGGTCAGCGATGACCCCAGTGTTGGCTCTGGCCACGGCCCCAGGCTCTCTGCACTAGGCAGAGTGGAAGCAAGTGTCGGAGCTTCAGGGATGCAGTGGGGTTTCTCCTCATCTACACATGTAAGCCCTGCACCGCGCACACACTCATCTACACGTGTAAGCCCTGCACCGCACACACGCACATACACACACACTCATCTACATGCGTAAGCCCTGCACACGCACATGCACGCACACCCTTCGTGGGGAGGCGGGCTTCGGAAGCGAGCCTGCCCCCACTACACCATCCCTCTTGGTCTCAAGGTCCAGCCAAACTTGGGACGGCAGCAATTTCTGTCTGCAACCCTGATGTGCCTCAACGAAAAGCTAGTCGTTCGTGGCTCCCGGCTCAGACTGGGTGGCACTGCTCTTTCATTTAAAGAGGGAAAGAGGTGGCTGCCTCTTGAGGGACTTCTCTTTCACGGCGCCCGGCAGCGGGCTCTGTCGCTCCCCAGGGTGGCTGCCCTTCTCCCCAGCCCCCTTCCTGGCCACGCTCGTTGGGCCAGGCCTGCGGTCTGCTCCCCGGACGCAGCCTTAGCTGGGCTACTGGGGGGGCACCCCCGGGCCCACGAGGCCCCTCCCGCTCAGCTCACCCAGCCTGGTCCTGGCACTCCATGCACACAAGAGGGGACAGGACGAAAGGGCTGATAAAGACGGCACGTCGGTGCCCCCCCCCATTGAGACGCAGAAATCAGCGGCCTCCCCCACCAAGAATTCCTCACTGGGCGCCACAGAATGGCAGCCCACAGGCTCCATGTGGCCACTTACACATCCTTCCCGCTTCCCCACCTTTTCATGACAAGTGTGGGAGGTGCTGGAGCTCAGCCTAGGAACAAAGACAGGAGTCCCCCCATCTATCTGAGCTGTGCCTCAGGGCAGAGGGGAGGGCGTGCTGGTGACTGGCAGGTGAGGTAGTGAGGAAACACTACCCCCGCTGGTCCCAGGAGGAAGATACAGTGGGGATAAGCATCCCATGCCACCACAGGGAGTGCTGTCCTGTGCGCACTCCCGGAGGGCCGTCCTGGGGGACGGCGAGACCCGTGTGCCCCTCCCAGAGTGCAGACCTGATGGGCCGCCCCCAGTCCCTGGGCCCCGACCACACGTCTTGTCCCTTGTAGTCTGTCACCTTTTTAAAATTTTGTGAATAAGCAACACGCTCCCAAGGCTCAAGTACAGTGATGTCCCTTGTCCCTTCCCCAGAGGCCTTTGTGGTTTGTTTCTGCCAATGGAGGTTTCCTCAGTTTGCTTTTTTTGTTTTCAAGTGAACGTCACAAGCTCGAGTTGGGTGAATCCCAGGCCTGGCTTCTGCTGTCCAGCGCTGGGTGGTGCCGGGAGCCGGAGCTCCTCCTGACCCGCCCTCAGAATCCACAGCCCAGGCCAGCCGTTGGCGGGGACGCACCCTGATGTGGAGCTGGTGCTTGGGATTGCCGGGATCACGGGTCCCATGGAGGGTCCCCAGCTCACGGCCCCCTTGCCTCTCTCCTTCTCTGCTACAGATGTGAAGTTCATTTCCAACCCGCCCTCCATGGTGGCAGCTGGGAGTGTGGTGGCCGCCGTGCAAGGCCTGCACCTGGGGAGTTCCAACAGCTTCCTGTCCTACCACCGCCTCACTCGGTTCCTCTCCAAAGTGATTAAGTGTGATGCGGTAAGTGATCGAGGGCACTGCCCCCGCGCTAGCTTGGCTTCTATTCTTCTCTTCTGCTAGAAACTTCTAGTACCTGGGGGCCCAAGGCTGCAAATTCACTGATGGGAAGTGCCGTGGCTCGTGCCAAGGCCCCAGAGATGATGGGGGGGACCATGTGTGGGACGGGACAGGTGCCGTGTTCAGAGGCATGGGACCGGGGCCCAGGCTCATAGGGTGCGAGCCTCACCCCACTCTCCTGGGGCTCCTCTGGAAGGAGAAGCATCTCCCAGAACTTGTGGGTGGGCCAGGAGGGTCCTCAGGCTTCTGGTGCCCCCGGGGCTCCCAGGAGCAGGCGGGAGCCATACAGCCCTCCCGGGGAGCCGTCCAGGAAGAGGGGCCACAAGGCAGGCCCGTCAATGATCCGTGCCCTAATGGCATGTGGAGTTGGGGCCCAGTTGGGCTTTGTCTGGGCCACAATGCGGATGGCTCGTAAATGGGGGCTTGAAAAGGCTTCTGTGAGGTCTGCAGGCACAACAATGGCCCGTGGAGACAACCTCGTGTTTTACGGCCCCTTTGAGAGGCTGCAGCCTTCGGGGCCCCAAGTCGGGGCCGGTTGTGTCTTCCTTCTTCAAAACGCCATTGTTGGATTCCCAATTCCTTTCTTGTCTTAGAGGAAGAATGGAAATCACAGTTACGGGGGTTTGTGGCCTTTACCAGATTAGACCAGCGAGGTGGGCGGGTCAGCCCTCGGCCTCCGCTGGTGTGCCGAGTGGGAGCGAGTGACCGCCCTGACCCCGGTCCAGCTCGGGCTCAGGCTCGGGCTGCCTTCTGGTGGTCCGCCCTCGAGGCCCCCGGAGGCCCTGTGGGCCCTAGCAGCTGCTGCCTCACGGCACCATGGAGGGAAGGAAAGCTGGGTTGTGGGCAGAAGCCTGCCCGTCCCCTGCCCAGCGCTGCCGGCTGCCTGGAGGGGACCACATTTTTGCTTCTCTCCCTGCTGGGAGCAGGCTGTTCCTAGAAGGGGGGGTCCCCTCTCAGTCTCCGTGCTTACTGGGCCTCCTAGAGGGATGGGGTGTCCTGGCCAGCGTCACCCTGCGGCTCACCTTGGCGAGGGAGACACACCACAGACAGTCTGGGCACAGATGGCTGTAGATTGGAACCAAGATCGCAGCTGAGGGGCGGGGGAGAAATCAGTTGAGACTGAAATTCGTTAGTCTGGTTACCCGGCGACCAACGCAGCAGAGCCCAGACACAGAAAAGCCTGGGCCCCGGAGCCCTACGTGTCCTCGGGCCGCGAGCTGCGTCCGCCCTTCCCCAGAGCCGCCCCGGTCACCATTGTGGCTCTTCCCGGGCTAAGGCTGCAGGCCTCAGTGGCCATAAGGAAGAAGTTAGGGCCATGCGGCCGGGGGGAGTCCCTTCCTGCACCCCTCCGCCACACAGCCCCCCATCCCGAGTCCCCAGGGGCAAGAAAACCGTCGCCCCCTAAGAGCTGCCTGCTGAGAGCCACTGCAGGTGGGCAGGTGGGTGGGCGCCGCCGGGCCTCGGGGGTGGGATGGGGGGCTGTGCTGGGGGTTGGGGAAGCTATCAGGAGTCCTTCGTTCCATACCAGGCCTTCTGAGCCTCAGTTTCCTCATCTGTAAAACTGGCTGTTTGCACCTATCCTGCCTTGGTTACTTGTCATGACAAATAACGGAAGGGGTGGGGTAGGAAGGCCCTCCGTGTAAAAACTTAGAGCTCTGCAAACATGGCCGAGCCCCAGGGACTCACTCGGAAGACTTGCTGGCCTGGATCCACTCCTTTTAGGCAATGAATACCCATTTCATGCCCCACCTGGTTGGGAGCTCAGCGGCACCTTCCTCAGGTGCGTCCACGGTTCCCTGTTCCTATGGGAAAGGCACAGGTCTGTTTTCCAGGCTGGCCTGGAGACTCTACCTGGTTCTAGAATAGAAGCCCAGTGGGGCATCCCAGGAGTTAGGACGGGCCACCTCCGAGCCGCCGGGAGATTTGCTCCCGTGAGACCAGGAGAGGCCCCTGGACTCCCAAGATTCCTCTTGGGCGTTGAGACCTCGGGGAGGGCGCCGGGCCAGGCCAGTGCGCTCTCCCAGGGTGCAGGCCAATCGGGCGAGGACGGAGGGGGACAAAGGGTCCGGGCCCCCCCCACCCAGGCCACCCAACGTTCATTCTCAGTCATGCACAGCCTAACGCTTTTGACGGCCATTCATCACGGAAGGCTGGGTTCACCACGAGGGCTGACACGGCAGAGGTTAAGTCCGAAAAGCAGGGCTCAGGGGTCCTCTCTGGCCTGGATCAAATGGCACCGAATCCGCTGCGGGCAGCGGCGGGGCTGGTGGGAACAGCGAGCTGGGATCAGAGGCTGGCAGAGGAATTCTAGTGGGGGACTCAGGCCCCGGGGGCCTCAGGGCAGGCCAGGGAGACACCAGACGGGAGGCCGAGGGCGTCCTCGTGCACGGAAGATGGCCTGCATGGGGTCTTTGGTCCTGAGTAGGTGTGTGTGCTCCTCCGGCAGGGGTGGAGGGCTGGGGGGCAGTAGGTGGCCAAGCGGGGGGCCCATGCTGGTCGGTCCTGGGGTTTGGGCACTGGCTCCATGTTGTCCTTCACCCGATCTGGGGGAAGCAGTGCTTTAGATGAGCCTTGCTTTTCCCTAAAACGGACCAAGTGCTGGTGTTTGGGGGAGGGCCCAGCCGGCAGGCTCCATCTGAGGACCCCCGTCTCCCCTCTGGCCAGGACTGTCTCCGGGCATGCCAGGAGCAGATCGAAGCCCTGCTGGAGTCCAGCCTGCGCCAGGCCCAGCAGCAGAGCCTGGACCCCAAGGCGGCAGAGGAGGAGGAGGAGGAGGAGGAGGCCGACCTGGCCTGCACACCCACCGACGTGCGAGACGTGAACATTTGAGGGGGCGCTCGCGCGCGTGCGCGGGAGGGGCCGGCCCCGGGTGCTCCCCTGACAGGACCGTGCTCCTCGCCAGGACCGGTCACCACCAGAAGGGAAAGCTTTCCTTCTCCTTTACTGTGGGTTTGTTTCCTTTGCTCTTTTCTCCCTTCCGTCTCTGACTTAAGCAAAAGAAGAAAAACTGTCTTTTAAAAAAAAAAAAAAAAAAAAAAAAAAGGAGAGAAAAAAGAAATAGTATTTGCATAACCCTGAGCTGGGGGGTGGGGGGAGGTTTGCTACAAAAATAGAGGATCTTATACCCCATAATCAACTAGATTTTATATGGATGTGTTTGTGTCTCTGTGTTGTTAAGGATAGGCATTAACACAAGGAACGAGTCTGCAGGGGAGGATTAGATTTGATTCTTTATGTGTTTAAAACAAAACGGAAAAAAAAAGCATAAAAACATTTTAAAAACTAGAAAAAAGCCAACCAACCATTTTTGGAGTAGACAGGATTTTAGGTAGCAAACGCACTCGCGTGCCGTCCCCGAGGAGCGCGGCTTTAAGGCGGTCCTAGGTACCCTGCATCTCGCTTGCTCGTGCATGTAGTCACTTTATCAGCCCTTCGCGCGTGTTTTATTTTATTCCGTAGATAGGCGTGTAACCTCTTCACCTGTCCGTGGCTGATGTAACCTCAGTTAGCGTAGCGTAGAGCTCAGCGTGGTCGCGTGCTGGCCCTCTTTCCGCCCGCGGCCCAACCCAGAGCGGGTGGCCGGGGCCCCGGCTGGCGGCACAGCGGACACGGAAAACCAGCTCCGACTCCCGGCCCGCGCTGCTGGTAAAGAGAACCCGCCATAGCGACGTAATATATTCTATTTTTATAATCTTCCTATTTTTGTAGTTGCCTGTTGATGAGATGCTGGTTTTTCACCCCCACAGACCTGCAGCCTGCTCACATCCAGGTGAAATCCACAGCTCCTTTTTTTTTTTTTTTCTTTTTTCCTTCTCAATATTCTAGAACCATTCCATTTCAAAGCACTTTCAATCCAGTGGTTATAGGGAATCTCTCTTGTTTCTGTTGTGTGTGGAGGGCGGGTGGGGGGGCAGTTTCTTAATGGAATGGTTTGGGAATATTCACGTCTTTGTGTGCAGACAGGATGGCGAGGCAAGTGCATGTCACTTAAGGAGTTAGCGGAAGGGGATGTTCTTGAAGGCGAGCTTCCGGTCAAGAAGTGCATTCTTACATTGCCAGGATGATGCATTCCTTTCTCTGTAGAGCAGTGGAAGTTCGGGAGTCCTTGGTGCCAACTGGTGTTTGAAAGCATAGGGGGCCTTTAAAGGTTGACCTAGAGAACGCGTAGTTTAAGGGTTAGGAAGGTTTTTAAACACTAAAATATATAATTTATAGTTAAGGCTAAAAAGAATATTTATTGCAGAGGATTGCAGAGGATGTTCATAAGGCCAGTATGATTTATAAAGTAATGCAATCTCCCCTTGATTTACACCTACCCACACCCACCCACACACCCACACACACTTTTTTGCCTTTGATGTTGCAGGTTTCATACAGTTTGTCAAAGTTAGGTCTTTTTTCATAGGAGAGAGAAAAAGATCCTGAGGAACAACACAGAGAGCATGGATTTGGCTGATTCAGCCCGTCTTGGCGGTTTCCCAAATGGGAACCCCATCTGAGAGGCCTCGGAGTTCCACAGAAAGTTAGGGTACCCAAAAACAAGTTCAGCCCCAACATATTCTTGTCCCCAGTCCCCTCCTTTTGAAAAAATTTTAGCCACCAATAGACAATTTGCACATCTTGGCTATGTACCTTTTTGTAATGACTATGTAGGGAGAGTCGAAGGCGGCGAGAGCACAGGGCTGGTGCTTGGCGGGGACGCAGAGGGGCGTGCGGGCGTGCGGAGGGCCGACGGCGGGACCACGTGGCGGGCAGGCTGCGGCTCAGTTTCCCGATTCGCTGCTACCGATGACTTCCCAGCACAGTTTGGAAACCGATTCACATCACTTTTCTGTATCTCTTTCACATTGTTTTGCTGCTATTGGAAGATCAGTTTTTTTGTTTTTGTTTTACAATGTCATATACTGCCATGTTCTAGTTTTAATTTTCTCATAGAAAAATGTATTAAGGATGCCTTTTTTTTTGGTAGATTTTTTTTTTTTATGTGATCAATTTTGACTTAATGTGATTTACTGCTCTATTCCAAAAAGGTTCCTGTTTCACGATACCTCATGCTTCTCTTAGCCATGTGTAGACCAGGCGGTCAGGCTCCTTCTGACCCGCCGCCTCCCGCTCCTGAGGACACGCGGACCGGGATCACGAAATGGGCCTGGTAGGGTGGGCTCCGGGCCGCGAGCGAGCACGCAGCCTGGCGTCCGTGGGGCCGCGACCGCTTCCTTCTCCCTGCGCCTGTAACCCTGGGCTGTCCACCCAACTGGGACGTGCCACCGTCCTAGTTTTTACAGCCGTATTGTTCTTTACGTGTAGCTATGAAAGTTGCATTATTATATTATTATTATTGTAACAAGTGTGTCGTCACGTGCCACCGCAGTGCTGCAGGACTCAGTCACTCGGGATGAGCGGAATCACTTCTGGACTTGGTGAAAGTTCCGGGTGTTGCATCTGTCGTTATGTACTAGTTTGTTCTCTTCATTGCAGCATAATGCTAATTTAAAAAAGACTCCAGATCTCAGTGAAGCCAGCTAACAGTGCTGTGTGCCCGAGTCGCCTAGCACGCTGCCGAACCAAAAGGATTTGCACCACGGGCGGCCCCTGCCCCCAGCTGGGTCAGCCTGGGTGCTCCCTGGCCATTGGCGGGCCCTGGCCCCGCCCCGCCCCGCCCCTGCAGGAACACTGCTTCTGCTTACCTCATCCGTTCTGGCTGCGGCATCTCTGTCTGAACCAAACGGGGTCCTTGAGGGACGGTCTGTCCTCGTGGGGGGGTGGGGGGCTGAACATTGTGTGTGCTCAAAGGCCAAAGGCCGGTGGCAGGTCTGGGGAGCACAGCGGAGTCTGTCCTGTGACCAGCAAGTCTGCGAGGGTCTCTGGTGGGTGGGCGCTTTTGGTCTGTGTGTGTTTTGGTTGCACACTGTGGCACAGACATGTAACCGGCACGTTCCCAGCAGAAAACAAAAGACAAACGTGAAAAGTCTAGAAATAAAATCGGTAAAACCCCAGTACGGTGCCTGCCTGTTTCCTGGGGCGCGCGGCGGAGGAACAGGGCCCGAGCTGCTGGGTCCTGGGCTGGGGGGATGGCAGGCAGCCGGGGATGCCTGCCTTGGCACTGCCGACGTTTGGGGCCAGATCCTCCTCCGTCGCGGGGAGCTGTCCTGTGCACTGTGAGGCGTTGAGCCGCACCCCTGGCCTCCGTTCACCAGATGACAGGACGGTCTCTGGTTGTTTCACTGTCACTGAAAATGACTCCTGACATTGCCAGAGGTCCCCTGGGATCCAGAGGGAGTATGTGATGCTCTCGGCTTCAAGGAAATGGGGGAAGGGCTGGGAAGAGGTCAGGACGCCTTGCAGCGGCGGCTCCTACCACCTGAGTGGCGAGATCAGGATCAGCTCCCAGCCCACGTCTCCCCAGCACCCCCCCACCAGGCTATTTGCAGATAGGAAAATAAACAAGCCAGCTTTCCCTAACCCTCTGGCGCAAACTTGCTGTTTGCTCTTGGTGAATCACGGTCCCGGTCCCCGAGGCACCCCCAGCTTGGGGAGGACAGCAGAGCGCATGTTTGGGCTTCAGTCCGGTGGCCTTTCACACGGACCCAGTGACCTGGGAGACCTAGTGGACACCTGTGACGTCCACCTCGGCTTCAGATGCACGTGGCCGGCCTCGTTTCCAGCCCAAGGTGGGAAGTGGACAGGGAAGGCAGCAGCAGGCCTCAGGGCCAGCTCCACGGGGCCTGGGCCTCTTCCCAGAGTCTGGGGTCCCCAGCGTGTCTTCAACCCGGGCTGTCGGGTGGTGAGTGCCCAGAAGGGAAGCCGGGTCACATGCCAAGGCTATCACTCCTTGTCAGGTCAATTTGCTGGGGCCTTTATGAGGCTCCTGCTGTATACAGCCCTGCTCCACAGGGTGCCCCTCCTCCCAGCGGGAAGCCTCCAAATGTGCTACGCACTGGAGCGCCTGGGAGCAGCGTGGGTGCGCTGGGACTGGGATTGCTTCTTTCCCCACAGCAGCCCCACGCTGGGCAGGTACACCGAAGGGGCCTCTGACACAGCAGACCGAGGGGCGGTCAGAGCCAGGGGAGGCACCCAGCCCCAGGGGCAAGCCAGAGGTATCCTGAGGAGCGGTTTCAGGGGAGCAGAGGTAACAATCTCACTGCATCAGGTTCAAGCAGAAATCGGGGTGAGCAAGTGGGGGAGCCAGGCCTGCAGAACTGGTCCGCGGGTTCAGTGGAAAGGCAGAGAGGCATGGGGGGGGAGGGGAGAGCCGGAGCCCCCGCGCAGTGCAGAGGGCAGTGGGGAGGAGGGCACGGGAATCCCCCATACCCCGCCTCGGGTCTTTCTGGAAGATCCCAGGAAAGGACTCTGTAGGCCTGACCTGGCAAAGCACCCACCCTGTCCCCTGGTGGGAGGTCTGGCTGCCCCAAGCATCTGTGAGAGAAAACAAATGGCCTTTGAGGGACTTCTGGGATGAAGTCACCCCCTGCTGCCCCTCTCCCAAGCCCGAAAGCCTATCCTCGCTGGGCCCCACCGCCTCACCTGGGACCTGCCCTACCTCCCAACCACCTGTGCCCAAACCCTCAGGGGCCTCTAGCTCCTTCCAGCTCCATCCAAGGTCCTGACACCTGAGCCAGCTCTCCCCTTCAACCCTGTCCACCCCCACCCATCTTCCCCCGCACCGCTCCCCTCACCTCACCTCTCCCCTCACCTCACCTCTGCCCCCTCCCTCCTGTTGCCCCAGCCTCAGGCTCTCCAGCCCCGAGTCTGCACCCATGGGACTACAGGCACACCAAACTACTTCCTGCCTCCAGTCCTGTGCCTGAAGTGCCCCCCTCCCGTCGGGGGCCCCCTGCAGGCGTTCCCACCCCTGGCCCTGGCAGGTGGCTCTGGGAGGTCCAGGACTCACGATAGCTGGGTGCTCCCCATTCTGGGCTATGAGCCCTGGAGGACAGGTGCCTTGCTGTTCCTTCTCTGCGGCCCTATTCCCAGCCTGGCAAATGGTAGGTGTTCAGAAGTGGGAACGGGACCAGAATGGAAAGGGCAGCATCCCTGGGCCCACGGGCCAGGCCCAGCTTGCTTTGTGAGCTGCAGAGGGGCAGCCCTGCCTGACCCAGGGTGCGGTGGGCAGACCCCCGCGTCCTGAGGACACGGCGCTGAGCTGGAAGGTGAGTCAGATCTGCAGAGGTGGGCACTGCCGGGCTCCTAGGGGCCACGGCCACAGCCACTATGTCAGGCTCCCAGAACTCATCTGAGCCTGTGGCCCCCGGGGCCTCCCGGAAGCCTCGCTGCCCGCACACCTTGGCTCGGCGATTGGTTGGGGACGGTCACACCACAGGCCACTCCCAGCGGCGGGCACCGCAGCATGGGCTAGACAGGGACACACGTACCCAGCGGGCTGGCGGCGTGGGGCGTGCGCCCCGCGCTGGACAGGCCTCTGCAGCACACAAGGCTCTGTCATCCCAGGAATGCCTTTGATCAGGAGTTTGTGCAGAGGGGGCCGCAGCCCAGGGCTTCTAATCCGTTCCCACAGCCCCCTGGCCCGCCGGCCCCCAGCCCTGAGCCACACTGAGGCCCGGGGCAGACAATAGCCAGCGGACGGTGGGCGGGCAGCTCCGGCCTGGGCCTTGGGGCCCACATCCGGGGCATTGTCACGGCCACTCACAGGGGCACGCAAGGAGGGTGGGGGAGAGGAATACGGAGCCCTCCTGAGGGCGCTTCAGTCGGCCTTGAGCCTCTCAGAGAAGGCTGGGGCCACCAATCCTTTTCCTTTTCGGCTACAGGCGGTGGAGACAGGCGGCTGTCTCCACATGGCCTCCCTCTGAGCTGAGCGTCCCAGTCCCCGGCCCCTGGCGCTCTTGCCCTCGCCCAGCTCAGGAGAGTCACAGCCCCTGCTCACTGAGCACAAACGGTGGACCAGGCATTGTGCTCAGGGCCCAACACACAGTCTCCCCCTAAATCCTGAAACCACCTGGTGAGTGGGCCCTGTGTTCTCACGGCTGCAATCTCCGCCTTCTAGGCCAAGGGCGGGCAGATTCTACAGAAAGGGTTAGAGTGGGGGACCGAGCCTCTGCTGGCCACAGGGTCTCCGTCCTGCTCAACTGCGCCCTGGGGCAAAAGCAGCCCCAGATGACGGTAAACGAATGAGCGAAGCCGCGTGCCAGTCGGGCTTTGTGTGCCCAAATGGGCAGTGGGCCGCAGGGGGGCTGAGGGTGGCAGTTTCAGCCTCCTGTGGTAGATGAGGAAACCAGGGCCCAGAGAGGGGACAGTAACTGGGCCAGGATCACACAGCCAGGAAACTGCTGGGGCCGGGCCCAGGGCCAGATTTGTGTCTGGAGCCTGTCCTCCTATCCATTGGCATGGCTGCTTGTCCCTCTGCCCCTCACCCTCCCCCCACCCCGGCTCGTGCTCTGTTTTGTCTTTCAAATAAATAAATAAAATCTTTAAAAAACATTTTTTTAATTCAATAAATAAATAAATAAATAAATAAATAAATAAATAAATAAAATGGACGAAGCCTTCATGTGGCTCTTTTCACCCAAAGGCAAGTGCATGCACTTGGGGCCCAGCTTTGCCAGGAGGCCCAGGGGGCGAGGTCAGGTCCACCAATGTCCAAGGCTTCAAGTCAGCAGTCCCTGAAGTCAGGCCAGTGTCTTGGTCAGTGGGCCTGGAGAAGGACAGCCAGGCCCACTGGCAGCAGAGGTGTGAGGTGACCGACTGTCATGTAGAAAGAAAGCTCACACACACATACGTGCACGCAGTACACATACGTGTTTTGGAGGAAAAGACCCAGGGGTTGGATCTTGGCCCTGCCACCTTCCAGCTGTGTGTCTTTACCTCTCTGCGCCTCTATTTTCTCATCTGAAAAATGGGGATAATTGTGTCCACGAGAACGGAGGCTCGGAGGAGGGCAGGGAGTTGTCTGATGCTTGGACTCTCTGACCTGACCCAGCCCAGAACAGGGGCCCAGTAACCTCAGTTCAGTGAGCGCTTTTTGGGGTGAGGGCTACACGGCCCGAGTGTGTGCGTTACTTAGCACGGCGCCCAACACAGTCACTCCTCAATAAAGGCCATCATCACCCCATGCGTCATCCAGGTGTGGAAGGAGAGGCTCTCCGGGTGGCAGGGGCAAGGCCATACTTCCTTCCCTCTTTGGGCTCATGAAGCAGACAGTTCTTGTTCTTCGTGCCAGCCCCAATCCCCTGCCTGGTGCTGACCATTCTGCTCTGTGGCTTGCTTGGGTGGGAATGACCCCATCCCCAGCTCCAGGACAGGCGCTGACAGGCTCAAACCCAACAGCACATCCGCCCCCCACCCCGGGTGGCAGGGCTCAAGGATGGCAGGCTCAAGGGTGAATGTGAAATCTAACAGAGCCAACGAGACAGGGAGAGACATTTTCTGAGGCTTCTGAAAAAGAGAGCCTTCCCCTCTCTTCCTCAGGACTCCGGGGGCCGGTGTGGCTCTTCCACCACCCTGACGGGGCTGCTGTGGGCCACAGGGTGGACTCTGA